GTGCTTGGCTCTAAAATATATATACGGGGGCAAGTCAAAAAGTTCCAAGACAAGTTGAGTGGAGAGAGAAAAAAAATGGAAATTTAAAGTTACGTCTAGAAGTCCTTGAATATAGTCTAAATAAGGACATCACAGAGCTGGGAGTACGAAAGAAAACAGTCTTCAGACTGAGTTCATTAAAAGCTCCTCCTGTTTACTTATGTGTAAAGCTTTATTTATATGAGTGGGAGTGAAAATGTATTTATTGAAAAATACAAATGTATTTTTTCTGCTCTTTCGAAGTGTTTGAATTTGAATGGTGAAAGACAGATAGACAGACAGATGGATGGACAGACAGGCCAACAGACAGGAAGACAGACGGGCTGTGAACGGTTTAGTGTATGTGGAGGCCAGACGGGCTGAGAATGGAAGACTGTAGGTTCAGTGGAAAGAATGTTCCTCGTGCACACGATTAAACTTATAGTTGAGCAGGAAATAAAAGAACCGAGTCGGTGCCAGTGACACAGCCCTGTGCTCTCAGCTCCTCGGTGAGTTTGCATGCAAGAATTCAAACATAAACAAGTTATAACAGGGAGGGTGGGGCACAGCACCAATACATTGACAGACAGGCAGGCATATGACCTGTGAATGGCTTTGGAGAGGTTAGTACACACGCCCATTTTATTGGTTTCAGTTTGAGCCCGATCCCTCAATGTACACACTGGACCCATTTAGTCCAACTCATGCTAGGCAAAAGGAAACCACAACCAAATGGGCCTCGGGCTTGGCCCACGGCTTTGACCACCGTTGGTCTCTGCAGGACCTGGCTGCTGACGAGTGGCTGCCCAGGAAGACAGGGTTCATGGGCGTGGTGCACCACACAGATCCCAAACACAGCCAGCAGTGTTAGATTGGCAGAGGGACAGTCAGCAGACGTCCACCCGGAGCCTAACGTGTAGCGAGGGGATCAGGCGAGTGTGTGTGTGTGTGTTTCTGAGGACAATTGCCTTCAGTAACGAAGGTCACGAGTCACAGAACAGACCAGAGTAAATCACAAGCTCAGCGTGGGTTCACCCTGTCAGTGCCATCGGAGGTTTAGGGCTTTAAAACAAAAAAAAGCAGCGCAACCAGAGTTCAGCCGTTCATTCAGGACAGCTTGTCCAGCCCTGGGATTCAAACCACAGCTCTTCAGTTTGTTGGTTTTCTTGTGAGAAGTCAACAGCGATGCCAACTCTACTTTAACTCGTGTACTTTTCTTGAGAGATATTTAAAATGTACTTTGAGGTACTGTGAAAATGAGAACTTTATTTTTGACCCCATTGTTGTGGTGGGCTGCACAGTGGTTCAGTGGTTGGTGCTGTTGCCTTTAAGCAAGAACATGATCAGTTTGATTCCTGATTCCCCTTCTCCATGGGTGTGTGTGTGTGTTCCAGTTTTCTCCGTTAGTACAGTAGTTACTTTTAAACTGACCGTAGAATGTGGATTATTTTAATCCTTAATCTGTTTGTTTTTTGGACTCTCGGCAGAAACGGGAATCAAACCAAACTGGGACTCAAACCATCGACCTGGCATCGGTGCTAACCACTATTCCACCGAGCTGTCCTGTTGAAGCTAATGTTATTTTGTAATGAATTAGGAAATTGTTAGTAGCGCCGCCCTGTGGGAAAGTAGACTAAGTGTTTTTGTTTTTCCCTGTGAAGTGATGATCACTGCACAGAAGCCAAAGTCAACAGACTGGTGTGTTGTGTTTACTGACTTCTCCAAGAGCTGCAATTAGTTTGACAGACAAGTGACAACATGAAGAGACCTTTATAGAACTGCTGCCCTAATGACATCCACGCTGCGTTCACTTCCACTGAGGGAGCGTCAGAATCATTAGCTCTGTGTGTTTCCAGTTTTACTGCTTCACACAAAAACAACTGACATCAGCGAACAGATAAGACGAGTAGTGAAGTGATTAAAGTATCAGTAAATACTACGAGAACCAACTGACGACAGACGACGACAGATACAGTCAGTTAACCTGAAGACAGAGATCAGTTTAACGACACATTTGTCATCCGTCGTCTACGGGCTAGTTCAGGATTCCATGGTTCCAGAGTGTTCCGTAGCATTTACTGTCAGTGCCATCGGAGGTTTAGGGCTTTAAAAAAAAAAAAGCAGCGCAACCAGAGTTCAGCCGTTCATTCAGGACAGCTTGTCCAGCCCTGGGATTCAAACCACAGCTCTTCAGTTTGTTGGTTTTCTTGTGAGAAGTCAACAGCGATGCCAACTCTACTTTAACTCGTGTACTTTTCTTGAGAGATATTTAAAATGTACTTTGAGGTACTGTGAAAATGAGAACTTTATTTTTGACCCCATTGTTGTGGTGGGCTGCACAGTGGTTCAGTGGTTGGTGCTGTTGCCTTTAAGCAAGAACATGATCAGTTTGATTCCTGATTCCCCTTCTCCATGGGTGTGTGTGGGTGTGTGTTCGTGTGTTCTCCAGTTTTCTCCGTTACACATACTTATACTTTTAAACTGACCGTAGAATGTGGATTATTTTAATCCTTAATCTGTTTGTTTTTTGGACTCTCGGCAGAAACGGGAATCAAACCAAACTGGGACTCAAACCATCGACCTGGCATCGGTGCTAACCACTATTCCACCGAGCTGTCCTGTTGAAGCTAATGTTATTTTGTAATGAATTAGGAAATTGTTAGTAGCGCCGCCCTGTGGGAAAGTAGAGTAAGTGTTTTTGTTTTTCCCTGTGAAGTGATGATCACTGCACAGAAGCCAAAGTCAACAGACTGGTGTGTTGTGTTTACTGACTTCTCCAAGAGCTGCAATTAGTTTGACAGACAAGTGACAACATGAAGAGACCTTTATAGAACTGCTGCCCTAATGACATCCACGCTGCGTTCACTTCCACTGAGGGAGCGTCAGAATCATTAGCTCTGTGTGTTTCCAGTTTTACTGCTTCACACAAAAACAACTGACATCAGCGAACAGATAAGACGAGTAGTGAAGTGATTAAAGTATCAGTAAATACTACGAGAACCAACTGACGACAGACGACGACAGATACAGTCAGTTAACCTGAAGACAGAGATCAGTTTAACGACACATTTGTCATCCGTCGTCTACGGGCTAGTTCAGGATTCCATGGTTCCAGAGTGTTCCGTAGCATTTAATGCGCCTGCCTCGGAAGGAAGGAGAGAGCAAGAAGTCCAGGGTTCGATTCCCAGAGGAACCACATACTTAGCCTGTTGCTGCAGATGTGATGTGAACACATGGACGTCCCAAGTGTGGGATCAATAAAGTACAAATTATTATTCCTTCCCAAGTGAGGGATCAATAAAGTATAAATTATTATTATTATTATCATTACTCCGTACAGTTACAGTTACTAACAGGAGACTTAGAGTGTCAGTCTCTACTGTGTGATTTGTGAACACTCTCCACATCTCCACCAGGTGCCCCTTTACCCCCCCCCCCCTCCCTTATGCCCCCAAACCCCACCCATTTCAAATACCATGCTTTAGTGTCGAAACCTTTCCCCCTCTCTGGACCTTCCTGGTTCACTGACCCTCCTGACCTCCAGGTATGGCTGACACTCTGACGACGTCATCCTTGAACTCGTGGTCGTCCCAGGACCAGTTTTTCCCCAAATCCCTCCATCTTCCTTGTTGTGATTGTGTATTTAAAGTTATTTTGTGCACAGAACGTTGGCCACAAACACCGGAGGAATGCTTTAGTGTTGAAACCTTTCCCCCTCTCTGGACCTTCCTGGTTCACTGACCCTCCTGACCTCCAGGTATGGCTGACACTCTGACGACGTCATCCTTGAACTCGTGGTCGTCCCAGGACCAGTTTTTCCCCAAATCCCTCCATCTTCCTTGTTGTGATTGTGTATTTAAAGTTATTTTGTGCACAGAACGTTAGCCACAAACACCGGAGGAACAGCGTGGAGGTGAGGTGAGGTTTGAACCTGCTCCCCTTCAAAGGGCCGCGAGCCCTCGCCGCGCCTCCTCGGTTTGTTTGCTCTCTGCTGATGAGGTAATGAGGTGCACGGGTGAGGGCGGCCTGGTGTAGGCTGAGGTCAGCCAGCAGCCCAGGGCCTAACTGCCACTGTGGTCACACCACCATCCTCCCCCTGCTGGCTTTGGCAAACACTGCATCCATTGGCCACACATGAAGGCCCAGCCTGGCAGAGGCAGCGCTGCCTGCTCGTAGGTTACGTACGGGCCGTTTGTGCATGTTTTGAAAAAAAAAAAAACATTAAAGAATGAACACACAAACACACACTAATCCCTGTTTGAGGAGATTTTCTTTTAGCCCCCACAAGAGCAGAGATGGCAGGCAGCCCCGACCAGCTGCCAGTAATATCAGAATGGATGCTTCAGTGCATGCATCAACATGAGCCGTTCTTTAATTATGGGTGTTGTGCGGCTGATGCTGTTGTATTTCCTGGACACAGTTCCAGTTACTGGGTCATTGTTGAAGACAGAAATCTAATCTGTTCCTGCTCAAATCAATTTGGTTCACAGTATGGACTCAGCTCTGGTCCTTGCTGTTCCTTCATGGCTTCCTGTCAAACGCTGTTTGGTACAACGTCAGGCACTCAAGTCCAGATCTTTGTTGTCGACAAAACGTTGGTTTGTTTTTTCACGTCCAGTAAGATGGCTGTAGTCCGTACGTTCAGGTGAATGGACTGGATCAGACGTTGGATGTTTTTCACACACGGTCTCATCTGTCTGTTTGACTCACAACGTTGACGTTAAGGGTAGACAACGATGAAGAGGCTGCGCCCTCTATAGGTTGCATTTTGTTAAAGGCTCTAATGTCTGATGGTTCGATTCCTGAACATCTTAAATCTGGCAGCAGTTGCGTTACTGATCAGAAGACGCAGGTTCAAATCCCACCTTGTTCCAGTGGTGGTGTGATGAACTGTTGGCAATACTTCATCGTGTGTTTGTGTGTGTGTCAGTAGGTGTACAATGATAATAAATGTGATTCTTCTTCTTCTTCTTCTTCTTTAGAAATGCAGCTCCTGAAGTGAGGGCAGCGTCAGAACACCTGCTGGATCACACAGCTGAAGAAAAGGGGTCAAAGGACAAAGGTGAGTGACCTTTCCTGCTCTCAATCTTCTTCAGCAGCACTCACCCTTGAAACCCTAGCATCACTGTTGTCACCTGTGTATAAAACATACACACACTCACACACAAACACAGCTGAGAGTGATCCGATTCAGGGGTCAAGGTCACAGAGCAGATGGAGTTTTCTGTCATGACTTTGTAGGGACGACAGAAACATGATTAGTTGTAGTCGTAGCCCAGTTTGTTTTCCACACAAAAACTTGACACAGTTTCTCCACAGACGGATGTTAAAGTTTCAGTAAAGAGTGAACTCACAGTGGAGTCGGTAAATGACAGGGCTGTAAGAAAGTGTTGATACACTGAAGTATCATGAATTTTCATTTTCTGATCCCGTATCAATCTCCTCAGTCATCAGTTATTGATTTTTTTTCTCACCAATTCCCAGTCCAATATTCCTGGTGTTGGTTCATTTTCTTTTCTTTCTTCTCTAGTGATTCCAAATGTAGATCCCTCTGTTCCAGTCTTAGTAACTGATGTTCAGATGGTAGACAATTGTGTCTATAGTATCGTAATATATCGTATTGTTGTCCCTGTATCGTGATAGGTATCGTATCGCCAGATTCTTGCCGATACACAGCCCTAGTAAACTTTTTAACTAAAGACGTGCAGATTTAAATTGTTCACCTTAAGCTGAGCATTGATGTGGATGTGGGTGTAGCTCCGCCCTCACCTGACGACTGCTGTGATTGGCTGCAGCTTCACTTGTTGCTCTGTAAAAAGAAAAAATGTATTTGATCCTGATTTCAGTCTGACAGTTGTTTCGAGAAGTCGTTTGAACAAGGCATTGGTCTGCTGTTGGTCGGGATGTGAACCTCAGTCCTAACAGTAGAGCCAGCAGTGAAGTGTGTTCCATCCCAGCCTAGAAACGTTGAAGTAAAAAGTCTTGGTATTTCCACAGAGCAGTGGGTAAGAAAGCGAAACCAGAGATGAGGATTTGTTTCCTTGACTGAACATTCAGAGAATTGGTTTTAATTTCTGTTTTGAGAGGAGGAAACCAAGTACTTTTGGTTCAGGTCAGCGTCTGGATTACGGTGAAAATGTGACAATGACGCCAACACCCACTGTGAGTGGTGAAGATCTTCCTGGTGGAATATGATCAGACTTGTAGGAACAGGTGTGGAGTCTGGCCTGGAATTTCTATTATAGCATGTGTACGCTGCGTGGTGCGCACTCGTAAATCTTTTTGAATGACATTTCCTCCCAGCGTCGCTCTTCCCAGAGCTCCGGCTCCAGATGTTAGACCAGTTTTGCTTCGTGCTGCTGTTGATGCCTGTTGACGTGACTTGACAACCAGCCTGAATCCGTGGAATCGGATGCCCCGTCGTCTGGGAATCACACTTCTGTGTGAATGTTGCGGAGATGTCGTGCCTCTAATTGCTCTGATTCCAATCAATAAAAGCTGAATGCGCTCACATCTGCGTCATTTGCAGCCAGAGACGCGGGCATGACCGGGAGGTGGTGACGGACACGGACGCACACATGGACTCACGGGACGAGCGGTGAAGTGGGAAGAATTCCGTACCAGCCACATGCAGTTGCCATGATAACAGCCCGTCCCACGGCCCGCGGCCCACAGTCCCAGCAGCCCAGTGCATCTGCCAGCAGAGATCCGGTCTCCGTCCGGAGAGTGAAGGAACACTTTCCCAGAGATATCAGTGACGTACATATGTAAGCAAACACACACACACACTCACAGTGATGTCGTGTCATGTTTGGTTTTCATTTTGCCTGTTTATTCAACAGTGTCCCTCCTGCAGCCCACCACCCTCCACTGAGCCACGACTCCCAGCAGAGCAGTTTGCTGCGCGATAACATCAGGATTGTCAGGTATTCCACGTACAAACCAGCTCCACATGAAGACAGCTGTGTGTGTTTTAGTCACAACATGGTTGATTCACTGAAACTAAACCACGTACAACGAAAAGGTCACGACGACGACCTTCATGGATCAGATGTAGTTTTTAAAAAACCCTTACAGATTTGTTTAAAAGATTATCACTATCATCAAAATGACAAATGAGACAGAGTTAGACCAGAGTGGGACAAAGACGAACTCTCAGGCCAAACTTAGTATTTATTGAAAATATGACTGTAAATGTTCATGTTTTCTCTTCTCTCCAGATCTGTGATGTAGATTTTTTTTCCATATGGAAACAACAACTTTAGTTTTGCGTAAATATTTAATCTGGAACAACCAAAGTTAAATATTATAAACACGAGAAATTAAATTTTTTTCACAGGCAAATGTATGTGCTATAAAGTAGCACATACATCGCTAATACTACAAATCCTGCCAGTATATAGGGCCTGTGGACTGGTACACATTTGATCTGATCTCGTGGGCCAGATTTGGTCCCCGGGCCTCAGTTTGTGTGTGTTAGACGTCCGTGAAACATTACCCATAATTCTTTATTAGGTTTAAAAAAAAAAGATTTTTGTAAGAAAACACAATAAGACAATAAGAGTGTGTGTTTGAGGTCAAAGGTCAGTGGCTAATTATGGTACCGCAGCTTCTGGAGCTTCTTCTTGTGGCCTGTGTTTTCTTTGCTCACTCCCTTCCTGGGATGAACACACACTTTTCCACAGCAGGTGCGGGTGTGTGCTGAGTAAGCAGAAGCTGGCAGTGACCAATCAGCTCCTCCGTTCTGCCCCTCTGACTCTGCATCAAAGCTCGGACTTAGGGACGAACAGGGTTGAGTTGGAGTGGGGGGGGGGGGTCTCGTCCACCTGCATGCTGACCTGTGGACAGGCCATGTCACAACAACCCCAAACTTCAATGTGCCCCAGCCTGACCTCGGCCATGCCCCCTTCTGACCACAGCTAACCCGTGGTGACCCCTGGAGCCATCTGTTACACGGCCGTGGGCTGTGTTGATTGGTCAGGTGGAGTGGGGTGAGAGGTGGGAACCCTGGGGGGGAGGAGAGGAGGTGGGGGGAGTTTGGTGAGGTTTAAAAGACCACGTTAACCTGATTAAACTGTCGTATCAGAAATACCATCAAACGTCACGTTTCCTGTGGATTTCAGTCCTTAGAACGGACCAAGAAGCAGGTCGTGACCTGGGGTCAAAGGTCATCCCTTCAGAATTCTCTGATGGAAACACCACTGAAGAAGAAGAGAGTAGGCTTAAACATGGGGGAGATGGGGGAGGCAGATTTTAAGAGTGGACACCAGGCGTAGTAGATTGTTCATTTGGGGCTTGGTTCTTGGTGCATTACTGCCACCTAGTGGGCTGGAGTGTGTTTGGTGTTACCGGTATTTCAGATATTAGGAGAAAAGAAGAAGAGGGAGAGAACTGGAGTTGGTTTGGTCATAACGTTGTCTTAGGACTTTCTGACTTGTGTTCAGTTTTTCTTCTTGTTGCGTGTTGGCTGTTGACAGTAACGCTATCGTCTTACAGGCCATCTGTGGAGGTGTAAATTGACGTGAGCTTGTGTCCAGTTGGAGGCAGGAGGCCTGACAGTTCGTCTGGTCCAAATGGTCACATGACCCCATGTGTGGCAACAGGCCGCAGCTAGAAACACGACACCTACTGCTGCGCTCCCATTACTGCGCGCTGACAAACAGTCGTGAAGTGGACGTTCAGATTTTCACCACTGTTGAACATTTTCAACTTTTGTTGTTTGATTTGCCCAGCAGAGGTCTCTGTCCGTTCACTCTGACGTCCAGCAGGGGGCTCTGTCCCTTTACTGTTATGTTTAGATGGGGTGGGGGTTAATTAGATTAATTAATTAAACTCGTACCTCGAACACCCACTGTTCTATGTATTTTTAAAATATATTTTATGGATTAATTTGACTCGATGTTGACGATCTGTTCGTTTGTCTTCGTACAGTGAGAACAAATGTCCAGCAGTGAGAGAGGGGACTGGAACCTGTGACCTTATTGCTGAGAGACTACTCGTCTGTATCAACATACGGTGAGTGTGAAGTTTACAGATTTCCTTCTTGACTCTGAGTTTTAAAAGGAACCCAACAGTTCCTGTGATCAGTGATCAGTGAACATCGTGTTCCTCCGTGTAAACACGTCACACTGACGACTGTCAAGTCAGGAAAAGTGCAAATGTCAAAAATGGGACAAAAGTCCCTCGTTCAGCGGCAGACTGTCTCTGCACGCTGTCAGGAAGGTAAATAGTGACACCAAGCGGTCACAGACGGTACTGAAAACACAACCCAACAAAGAAAATGTGATTTTTGGAATTGTTCTTGTTCTTTCTAACAGTTATTTTGTCAAAACACTTTAAAATCAGTTCCATCCTTTAACTCTTCACCACAGGGTTTATATTTAGGTTATTTATATATTTTTTACATTGTCTAAAGAAACAGGCATCTGATCAATTTCTGTTTATTATTTTTCAGAACAAAGAAAATGAGGACGACTTCTGAGTGGGGTGAAGGTCGAAGGTCGTAGGTCAGGCTTGACAACATCAACAGCGTTTGAGTCTTCGTTACAGGTTTGTGATCTCTCTTCATTTAACACAGGTTATATTTAATGTAAGAAAACAACAAGTTTCACGCGACTGGATTTTTTTTACTGCTTTTATTTGTGTTGATTTCATCAGAAATAGTCAAAGGCCGAACAACATAACGAACCAGTATAACAGTGGTCTATACAGGCAGCACAGGAGCTAATGTACAAACATTCAACAGTCAGACCACAAACAGTCGCCCAGAGGAAAGTTGTGTTTTATTTGACTGGTTAAAAACACAGAAAGTGTTAAATGTGATGATAATAATTAATTATTAATTAATGAACTAGGCAGAGTGACCTTTGACCTCCAAATATCAAAGCTGTAGAAGTGCTGTGTTTTATTCTTCTCTTTTAGCTCTGAAGTATATTGGAGTAAATGTTAGCGTTAGCATTAGCGCTGAACTTTTTTTGTTATATCATGCTGCAAATGTTGTCTGTAGGAATGAGGGTTTCACTGTGGCAAATAATGAATTAGTTTTAAAAATGTTTTTACAAAATCTGTCTTGTCACTATTACAGGGAGAAGACTGACGTACAATCAAGTCTGGCAATGCTTCTTATACACCACAGGAGGGCAGAAGAGACACCGTGAACACAGAGGTATACTTCTTTTAACCAATGTTTCCCAACTTCAAAAGTCAGTATTTAATTGAACACAACACTGTTAGACTCACTTTTTTATTTCTGATGCCACCTGGTGGACGCAGACTTAAGTGTTCTGGCTGTCACTGCTGCATAGATGAAGTAATTCTATATTAGTTTTCAGACCCAATCAAGTGAAATTTGATAATTGTCCATGGTAAACTAAGGTGCCACGAACCAGAGGTTGGGAATCACTGCTTTAAAGAGGACACGAAAAACACCCCACATGTGGTCGATTTAGTGTGAAAATATAATACTTTCAGAGTTTAAGTGCTAAACTTGGTCAAATTGTACTTTAAGGCTTCT